TCCTTTTCCCCACTTGAGAAACTCCTATTCCTCCTTCAGTACCCAGTTCAAGTGACATTATCCTCTGTAACAAACCCTTCCCCAGGTCCCAGGCAGAATTAACCACTTTCCATAGCACATGCACACTTCTGTTTACAGCCAGTATTAGGGGAAGTTTTTGCTCTTTGGGTGTCTGTCCCTCCTGGTGTCCTGACACTAGGAGGGGCAGGCCATGTAACTTGTTTGAGGGCCCAGACTAAGTGAACGTCATCTTTGTATCCCCACTTCCTAGCCCAGTGTCAGGCATGTTGTAGCGTCTACACATGTCAATTAGATTAAACGGAGACAGGACATTGTCATTATCAAAAGCATAACTATGCATCCTTAGGCTGAGTAATACTTAAAGCTCATCGTTTATTTCTAGATGTGTATATTCAGGAGCTTATACTTTACAGAGACAATATGAATAGGACACTTAAAGATGATATAAGCACCCAGAGGGCATGATCGTCAAGACAGTAAGTAATTTCAATGTCCCCATAAAATTATGTATGGTATATTTTGAGATAAATTTTTTAAGTCTTTCTTTTTTTCAAAGATTGGCACCTGAGCTAGCAACTGTTGCCAATCTTTTTTGTTTTCTGCTTTTTCTTCCCAAATCCCCCCAGTACATAGTTGCATATTTTATTTGTGGGTCCTTCTAGTTGTGGCATGTGGGACGCCGCCTCAACGTGGCCTAATGAGCGGTGCCATGTCCGAGCCCAGAATCTGAACTGGTGAAACCCTGGGCCGCCGAAGCGGAGTGTGGGAACTTAACCACTTGGCCGCAGGGCCAGCCCTGAGTCTTTAAAAACAATAATATAGCAAGGTAGATTTAATAATACTTGCAGAAGGAGAATAGAAACTCTGATCAAGATTTTAATGTAGTGATCTGCAGTGAGACGTACATACTTGAGACCTGAGCACCTTTAATATGAGCAAAAACAGAGCAGTTTTCCTTGGAAGAGCTTTACCTAACAGTCGCTCAGACAATACACAGCCAAGTCAGCAGAGTCAAGTAAGTGGCCTCTGGGAGGAACTCGCTTTGCTAGACTCCTATTTGGGAAAAATAACAATGGCTTATATTAGACGGTGTTTCCTGGGTGCCTTCTGCTTTACATGTACGATTTCAGTTACTCCTCACAATAACCGCATGCGGCAGGAAATATCCCTGTTTTACGGATGAGATAACAGAGGCTAAGAGAGGTTCAGGAACTTGCCTAGGATCTCACAGTTCATAAGTGCCAGAGTCAGTACATTAAGAAAAAAAATAGTACCCAAGAATTACTCTAGGACCAATTCCCAAGCAGTCTTGTCAGTTAACTGTGAAGTGCTAGTATTATTTTGGAATGTGTTGAAGACCGTGTCTGTGGTTTAACAGATTTACCATGACCACGACAGAAACAAGCCATCCCGGCTCGGGGGTCTCTTTGTTCTTGAGAGCAACACATTCATCTCCATGTCTGTCTCAGATACCTGATGGACTGTTTGTAACCCATTCTTCTAAATTTTTACTTTGTTAACACAAAAGATCTTCCAAATTTGCTTTTTTCTTCCCAGGTATTTTACTCTTTCCAGGATTGTCTGATATGCACTTTAAAATGCTATTAGATAGAGGGGGGCAGAATTATAAATAACAATATCAGGATAGGTACTAGGGTCATTTGAGGTACCTTTATGTCCTCCCTTCCCTTTCATAAAAGTTCCTCCGGTTTTTGGGCCCTCATTTATTTTCTCATTAGACCTACTAGATGCATCTGACTTTCTTTTGCAGAATGAGTAAGTGAATAAATAAAACCTTCCCAGTGGCTGGTCTACGGGGATAGCTTCTTCATAGAAAGAGAGACTTGCTTAAAATTCAGAGTTGGCACGAGGAGGCAATTAGGTGGGAAGGCCTCTGGGGCATCATCGGCTCCTTGAGGATCCTGCTGATCTTTTTGCTGCCGTGAGCACTGGCCTCACTCTCTCTTCCCTTGGAGGCCAAGGAGCAATGTCCGGCCTGGACTACAAGAACCTCGCGTGCCACGCTGGCCCTTTTCCCCATCTGCAAGGGCCCCATTTCCTCTCTGTGAAATTCCGCGGTGTGTCCACAGCACTGTAGGGTAACGGAACAGGGGAAAGAAGATGGGGGTTTTCCCGGGTTCCCTTTTCAGTGCCGCGTGCTTCTGGGCAGACAGCACAGTGGAGCTGTGGGTCAGGATAATACGTTTCCTTCCCCTTTCATCCCTGCTTTAGTAGACACAACTATCTCTACTTTCCAGACTGACCAATTGTTTTTTTACCGAAAATATTTCACTTGATTCTACAGCTTCGCTGTGTAAATCTAGGCAGCTCCCCAAAGAGCCCCTGGCAGGAGTGATGTTCCATAAGAGCAGGGGCACATTCTGGCCCTGGGCTGGATGCCTCGTAAGGATCAGGCCCCGGAGTTCATCAGGAAGGGGCCAGAGGGGAGGGGGTTACTCAGAGGGCCAAGGGCATGGCTGTTTCAGTCTTTTAACAGTTGGCTCAGTTGGCTAAATATGAGCCTCATCATCAGTTTTCCTGGCCTTCAGGCTTGTGCCCGGGTATCAACCTTCAGGACCCACTTGCCTTAAATAGAGCCCCCTGCAGCCAAGAAATGCATGTGAAATTCTGTTTTCTTCCAACATGTTTGAATCAGCTGGTCCTGCTCTTAACTGAGCTGCTGCCTAAATATTGGGGGTGTAGAGAATGGGAGAGTTGGCCTCCAAGCCCTTCCAGGGCTATATAAGCAACACTGAAACTGATATATAGCAAGGAATGGGGGGAGACAGTTAACACAGACATTCTTCAAACAACTTCTAAATTATTATAATACATGCCCACAGTAGAAATTTTTTACAACTGGTTTTTACAAGGATGATAGAGGTAATTAGTAACTACCCTAATCCTGCTACTAAAACATGATTGTTAATTATTAACACTTTTGTTTATTTCCTTCCAATCTCTTCTCTTTGCACATAATTATTTTTAGCAACGTTGAGGTCATGCAGAATATTCAGTTTTGTAAGCATTTTTGTGCTTCATTTAAACATTGTTTCATAAACATCTTAATGACTGTAAAATATGAGTAAGGGATCAAAAGAAGTTTCATTCAAATCCTAATGAGTCTACAAGTATTTACAGATTTTACTAAAACTTTCAAACTAAGTCCAGAGTCATACTTCGCTCCTGTCACTTGACAAAGCAGTGATGTATGTAGAGTTGTGTTTGATTCTGACCACAAACTGTGGAGGACACAGTGCTGCTATTAGGGTCCTCATACTCAAGCCTGGCTTTGATGCAGATGTAAGTGAAGTCCCAAAGGCCACACAGTGAAAACCTTGAACTCAACCGCAAACCTCCTGTCTTCGTGAGCTTCTCAAGCCACCTTCTTTTTCCCCCTAAGAATCCCTGTTGCCAGGAGGCTCATTCTCACTGGCTATGGCATCAGTAAAGCGGTTAGAGTTTATTTATTTATTTTTTTGAGGAAGATTGGGCCTCAGCTAACATCTGTGCCCATCTTCCTCTATTTTCTATGTGGGATGCTGCCCCAGCATGGCTTGATAAGCAGTGCATAGGTCCGCACCCAGCGTCTAAACTGGTGAACCCTAGGCCACCAAAGTAGAATGTGTGAACTTAACCACTACGCCACCGGGCCGGCCCCTAGTGGTTAGATTTTTAAGTTAATTAAAGGCTGGTGAAATTAGAAGTACTTGACAGGTTTTATTAAACTTTGGTTTAATTAAAGGCCAAATTCAAACTGATAACACCCATGCCTTCCTTTGGTTGACTTTTGTGGTGGTTCAGCAAATGCTGCTTCAATTTGAAGACTATGTTCAAATGACTCTTCAAGGGTGGCCTGTGACAAGGTCTATAAGACACAGATCTATAAGGGTGGTTATTTAAGAAAATGCTTTTGGCAAGAAGAAGAATTTCCTAACCTAATTCTACTTCTAGCTGTTCAGATTCTTCAAAAGGATGTTGATGTAGTTTTTGATATGTTATGTTCCACTGTGATGTCACCTGAAAAGCCAAAGTGTTAGCAGTGGATAAAGATGATGCCTTCTGTTTGCTATCTTAAAAAAAAAAAAAAAAAAGTGGTGAGAAAAACCAAAGTGAAGAACACTCAGTGGTGATACTTTAAAATTGGAGCTTAGGTTAAATATTTATTATTTTCCTAATGTGACAAAAACATCCTAGGCAGACACACAGCTAAGACAGATAGTGGCAATAATTTTGATAAATTAGGTTATTAACTAAACTACCAAGACCTTTAAAAGCAATTAGTTAATACTCCTGAAAGGTCTCTAATATAAGTCTTAAGATGTAGGAATTATTTATATGATGGTACAAAAAATGTCAGGCTCTATGTTGGGCTAATATCTGTTCAGTTTTATTGTAATTATTCAGTGATTCTTTAAGACTAAGCCTCAAAAAAAAAATAGTGCAGCGGCTAATGAAATACGTAATAACCGAATCTGAATTGGACTAGACCAATTGAGTTTCTTGAGAAGGGAGAGAATTGGGACCCCTACAGTAAGAACTGCATGGCCAGGTGTATTGGGTTTGGGAAGCAAGTCTGAATTGCCTGGAATTCCTGCTAACTGAAGAACTAGGAGTGAATCTGTCATTAAAAATGAGTATTATATTATTGATTAAAAACAAGTGAAACTTTAGTTTTCAGTACTTTCATTTTAAAAAGCATCATTGGGTGCTAATGCTGCAACTTGAGTCAAAGAAGACAAGACACGTCTCTTCTGTGAGTTGTTCATTGATCATGGTTGTTGACCCAAATTCATCTTAGAATAAGTTTGACTTGAAAGTTTTCAGTGAATTGTGCTGAGCCTAAAAATTCTCCCTAAACAGAAGCATCTGTTGTATATTTACAAACGGAAATAACTACGGATGTCAAATGAATCAAGCTTTTTATTTTCTTGTCACAGGATAGCTAATGTGTAATCGTTGCAATTTCTTCCATGCAGTGCCCTGCCAGACTGTTTTAGATTACTTGAAGACGGTGCTGCAACACCACAACCAACTCATGATCCCACAGCCAGCTGACCAGCCGACCGAGGTAGGTCTCTAGTAACAAGATAAGTGTTGTTCCGTTTGGAATTTCCTTAAGCTGAAGCCTCTTGATAGCTTACCTGTGTATACCAGAACAGACTGGCTAGCAAAATGCATATTTGACTCTCTGAGGCTTATGGGTCTGTTACCTTTGAGTATTTATACAGTGGAGAAAGATCATGCCTTTCAAAGGTCATGTATCATGAAGATTCAACTCTATACTCTTGAGAGGGAAAAAAGAAATAGTGAGGGCAAGTCTTCCACCATTCTTTTGGCACAGAGGTCCCTGAAATGAAAGACACCAACCTGTCCTTCCCTCAGGCAGAGCTAGTGTTGCAGAATGCCCCTTGCCTGGGGTGTCTCCCACACTGAGTAAAATTCTCCAGTGTTTAGATAGGTGTTTTCCAGACATTAGGGCCCCTAACATGAGAGTTCTCTTCCTCTGGACTTCAGCAGAAGAAATCACAGGCACTTCCAGTGTGTAGGAGAAGTGGTCTGTTTTGATGATAGTGGTTTATCTGTTAAAACATGGTTCATTTTTACAGGATTTTCAAGGCTCAGTTTTGAGTATATGTTTTTTTGTCTTAGGGACTTTAGAACCTAAATCTAGTAGAATAAGGAATTGCACTGTACCTTACCAGGCTTATAAATGTCGTAGATTCATAACTATAGATAATGCTCTGTTTACGTAAATTTTCTTCACTTGGCAAGGTGGGTCGTTTGTGCTAGCGATAGGATGTTGACCCTCTCATCTCGTCGTCACATATCCGTTGACGTTAACTGCATCTAGTTAAAATAACCTTAAAATTCCATCCTCGTGCTTACACTTGGTAGATCCAGTTGCACACTTGTTGACTTGTTTGCACCCTGATCCCATGCCTCTGCTGAAGAAATATCAGGACATACTACTTTGCAGTTCTCTGCACATCAGAGAGACCAGAGGATGAAAAACGTGGAGTCGGCCTAGCGCAGATTGAAACTGTCACCTCCGGGGGTGGCCTGAGACTTGTTTGGCAGTTGCTCCCTTTCCCTGTAATTGAGAGGAGCTACGTCAAAGGTCTGCTGCTTTCCTTAGGCCCCCAGCCCATGCCTAGTCCCACCACCCTCCCCATCTTGAATTCAGCACAAATGTAAGGGACACCAAGTTGAATTCAATCCACTGAATCCCACCACACTCATTTCTACCTTCATGCATCCCCTGCGTCCCCGAGGCAGCACTGCCCCTCCACCTTGCCATTGCTGACAGGTCCCCACCTGGCACTGCCCTCCTCCTTCCAGGACTTCGTGCCATCAGTTATTCCTTGTCTTATGCCCTGATTTCTCCCTGTTACTGGGTCATTAGCCAGCCCTGGTGATCTAGTAGTTAAGATTCCCGGGTTCATTTTCCCGTCAGGGAACCACACCACCCATCTCTCAGTTGTCATACTGTGATTGTTCCATGTTGCTGTGATGCTGAAAGCTATGCCACCAGTATTTCAAATACCAGAAGGGTCACCCATGGTGGACAGGTTTCAGCGGAGCTTCCAGACTAAGACAGAATAAGAAGAAGGACCTGGCCAGTCACTTCTGAAAAAAATTGGCCTTGAAAACCCTATGAATAGCAGCGGACAACTGTCTGATATAGCGCTGGAAGATGAGAAGGTGGCGCAAAAGGATTGGGTGGTTTCCGCTCTGCTGTCCACAGGGTGGCTGGTGGTCGGAATCGACTCAATGGCGCTAACAGCACTTGGGTCATTCTCCTGAGTATCAACACACTCAAGTCTTCCCACTCTGAAAATAAGCCCTCCTTTGATTCTCCCTCCCTGTCTCCATTCCTATCCTTCCTTTCTCCTTCCATCACCCAAAGCATCCTCTGTCAACACCCTCATTCTACACCACCACACGTCTCGCTCCTTAAATCTTAGGCCCAGCTCACATCCCCGTCAGCTCCCCAGTGCCTGTCATGGAAGACACCTGCAGAGTGGTGACCTCATGTTTTTCATTATTAAACACTTGAAAAACTAGTATCCGTTATCTCCACTCTCTTAGTTTCCGTTTTCTCTTCCAACCCTGTAACCTGGCTCTACCTCCACTACTTAGCAGAATGCCCAGCAAGAGGGCCCTGGTGCTTGCCCAACTGTCCAGTCCAGGGGCCCTTTTTCCAGCCCTTGTCTCATCCGCAGGACCTCACCCCTCCTCCTTGCTCTCTCTCTCTCTCTCTTTCTCTTGTTCTTAGTGTCAGGACTCTCTTCTGGTTCCCTATCTTTTTCTTTGTCTTTTCTTTTGATGAGGAAGACTGGCCCTGAGCTAACATCTGTGCCAATCTGCCTCTATTTTGTATGTGGGACACCACCACAGCATGGCTTGATGAGCGATGTGTAGGTCTGTGCCTAGGATCTGAACCCACGAACCCTGGGCCCCCAAAGCAGAGTGTGCGAACTTAACAGCTACTCCACCAGGACAGCCCCAACCCCATCCTTTTCTTATTATCCTTTACAAAGTTTTCCATCCACTGTTCTCCAGATTTCCATCCTTCACTCCTCTCACTCTCCACTGCCTTCCTCTGGTCAGTTATCTTCTCTCTCTGAACACCAACTACGTGTAGACTAACAAGTCCCTAATCTAGATCTAGTCCACCAGTCCCCAGGGCTCAGCTCTAGACCAGTGTGCGGCTGCCTGACCAACAAGGAGCGCCCGTGCACCTTCAAACTCACGACCTCCTCTGAATACTCATCTTTACTCCTGTTTTCTCTTCAGTAAAGGCAGCACTGACCTGGGGCAGAAGTTTCTGAGGCATCACCAGCTCTTTTCCTCTTCCTTATTCCTGACGTCCATTCATTTTACAGCCACGCTAGTCTCTCTTCTCTCTAATTCACTTGTATCACTTTTCACCTGGACCGTGGCAGCTGGTTCTTCTCCATTCTCCACACTGGAAAGGTATTTTTCTAAAATGCAGATCCACACTAAGTGTCACACGCTTAAAATCCTTTGCTCTCTAGAATAGGATCAGCCTTTCTTAACTTGACATTTCTGGTATGTATACAAAAAGCACTTCTGCAAAGCCCACTTCCTCCAAGAAGCTCTCCCTGATTGCCACACCCACCTCTGTGTTCATAGAGCATGTTGCTTGTAAGACTAATTCAGAACTTACTTAAAAGTTAAGTAACTGTGTCTTCCACTTGATTATGAGCCTGTGACAACATTGAGGGCTGTTGATCTTGTTTTTTTCAAAGTGACCCAACAATAGGTCAGAGTTTAGCAACTTATTGGTGGCTAATTGAGAATATGCAACCAGAATATTAAAACATAAAAATAGGGGAAATATCTACATTTCCTCTGGATAGGACTATTTAAACTTTGATTACCCATCATCGTCATTATTACTGTACTATTTTTATTGTCATTTCAGGCATGTGAGCATTTTCTTACTAGTATTATTTATCACATTTTATTCCTATTAACTATGCTAAAACAGTCTGATAAATCTCATCCACAACACAGAAAGCATTCTGAGTTGTTTGGGGCTGTAAATTACTTTCTCTCTTTTCTTTTTTTTTTTTTTTTGAAGAAAATTACCTCCAAATGGTATTTCGACATTTTCTGAGAACTGCATCTTATGGAGAGCTGCTGCGTTTTAGAAGAGCTGTTGAGCTCTTCTGTGTGAGTGTGTTTTTAAGAGTTAGAGAAGGTCCTTCCTTGGATTGGCAGCTCCCTCTTCTCACGTACCTCCCATCTTGAAATAGACTCGGCTCTGGTTTTAGGGGGGACTCCAAATTCAGGGATAGGTTCCTGGCTCTGCCTTTCGGCTTGGGGGACCCTGGGAAAAGATTTAACCTCCTTGGCCAAACAGCTGTGGGAGCCCTGGCTTGCCAGGTAAGCTCGCACACCAGAGGGAAAGCTGGTTTTCAAACGCGTACAGCATTAAATAAATGAAGGGTTTAAAAACGAGCCACACAGTCTCCTTTTCTAAGGCTGATAAGTGCAGTTACAGGGACCATAACCAAGAGGATGATTTTAAATTAAGGATGGCAGAAGTCCGCTGTCCCCAGTAGCTCTTTTTAATGGCTCCTTGTCTTTGCTGCTCTCCTTAAAGTGTTTAACTTTGCCAATTTATATTCCTCAGAAGCTCTTCAGATATCCCAGTGCCACAGCAGTTAAAAACAAAGTCCGAACTCTTCATTGCAGCCACCATTCTCGGGTGTCCACTTTGTGCCAGCTACGCTGGTGTTTACTGCATCAGTCATTAGACAAACGCCTTCTGCACCTCCTGTGTGTCAGGCACTGTTCTTGGCCCTGGAAGCAAGTAGAAAGCTCACCTTCCTGGGCTTCTTATCTTCAGGTGAAGAGATTGGTGGATTCCTCACCACAAACCTGCAAGTTGGATTATCTTTATTTTGACTGAGGAGAGCTGAAGTTTAGAGCCAATAAGTCATCTGCCCGAGGCCTGCCCCAGAGCCCAGCTCTGTCATTACCCCAGCACCACCGCCTGTGAGGGGCAAAGAGGCCAGGGGTAGAGTGTGTGGGGTAGCCTCAGGCTGCTCATCGACCACTCAGTGAATGGTGCCAGTTACTAGCAAGGTTCTTCCACAGAAATACTTCTCACACAATTCATAGTTTGAGGCAACCCGCCCTGGCTCCCAACTGCCCCAGACCCCACGCGGCTTCCTGAGGGCTGAGGGGTCAACAATCAGAATTCTTGTAATCCCTTCTCACCCTGTGCATGGGAAGCAGTGGAATTCTCCTCCTTGCCATCGGCCTCCTCCTCTGCCCAGCCATCGCCCCCTCTTCCTTATCCTTGTGAAGGACACCACCATTTCTCCTGGGAATCGTCTTCACTCTTCAATCTACCACACCCTGGCTCATTGAAGTGGTTGCCTAACACACTTCATTCTCCATCTTCCATCCTCGCTCCTCTGTCAGCACTGCCAGATTCCAGTCATCCTTCCATCTCTCACCTCCTGCCATGAAACAGCAGCCTGGGCTGAGGAAACCTCTGGGGCCTTTGGGATTACAGATCCCAAAATCTGTAATCCACAGAGCCAAGGGTTGGCGTATGCTCCCAAATACCTCCTGAACCCGTGATGATTTAGTTCTTCCTGTTTTACAAGGTGGGGAAACTTTGGTCCAACAAGTTGAGGTAACTTGCTCAGGAAACAGAACAAATAAGACCCAGAACCAAGATTCAGGGCAAACCCAAGCTGATTCTAAATTCAAAGCACAAACCACGTGCCTCAGCTGCCTCCCTAAAAGGAAACAGTCACACTGTTGTGTTCAAGGGAGACCAAATGCCATGGAGATGAGTGCCCGTGCGTGTCATCCAGTGGAGGTTTCGTAGCCACATCTGGCTGCCTCTTTCCTGTTGGCTCCTATGCCATTTGCCCATCTCGGTGCCTAATTGAACAGAGCACTTTTTGAGATAAAACCCTATCAGACCCAAACAGTGCCAAATTTATAACCTGTAGTAAATTTGCAGAGTTGTAAAACTGAATGAGTTTTCCTTTCTTTATTTTGTACACCTTAATTACTGGGGAAGGACTACATTAAAACTGAGATCATGGGTTAATTAATTTGTCCTGGACTGTAGAATTTTATGGACAGCCAGAACTAACGTAATGGTTGTGTAGGTGCAGTCGACTAAACATGGCTTATAAATGTTGCAGAAATCCCCGTAATTAGTCCCTCCGCAGCTATTTAGCCTGGGAATTTTATAGCAGACATAAATTATGAAGGTGAAAAGTAAGAAAAATTTTGAGTTGACATAGTGGCATTTGCAGAAGCTGTAATTTGAGGAAATCTGTTTTACATTATGTTTAATAATTATTTTTTTCAGTTTCCACAATTCCCCCTTTTTTAAATTCACTTTCTAATGTCGTTTCCACTGTAATGCGGAGGGCTATCAAGTGTTAGGTGCATTAAACACGAGTAATACCTTATGAAGATAGACCACCAGCGTCGTTTCTAAAAGTACTTAACCGCCAACCAAAGGAGGAAGGGACCTGTTTGATCACACTCTTCAAAGTCATTTTTGCATATTTTCATAGATTGAAAAGGAAAGTTACAGGTTCTATTTAAATAGTGTTTCCTGTCATTGGATCTTGACACATTTTAACCTACCTGTTAAAATGCAAGTTATAAATAGCTCCTCTTTCAGAGGTGTTCATTATACCTCATTGGCTCTTGTTATAGAAAATGCAAATGTAATTTGAAAAGTGCCCGTTCTGAGAGTGAGCAATTACTCGCGCTCTTCGATACCCAATTCATTGTCAGCAGAGCCGCTTGGTTAAAAAGCAGGTTTGCCTTTGAAATGGAGATCGCCTCGGCTTCTGGCTGGCTGGCTACGTAGGTAATGAGAAAATATTTCGCTTTTCCAGGGGAGCAAGCAGCTGTTGAACAACTATCCTGTCTACATAACGAGCAAACAGTGGGACGAGGCTGTAAATTCCTCAAAGAAAGACGGGAGGCGGCTCCTTCGATACCTCATCAGATTTGTTTTCACAACCGATGAGCTTAAGTACTCATGCGGCCTTGGGAAAAGGAAAAGGTCAGTGCAGTCAGGAGAGACAGGTCCTGAAAGACGCCCTCTGGATCCAGTTAAAGTAACATGCCTCCGAGGTACTGCATCCTTCCGCTCAGTGTCGCCATCTGTGATCTCATTTCACCGCATTGGCTGTGGCTCCCCCGTGCAAGTGTTCAGCCTTTACTGTATTTTGGTTTTTTTCCTCTGAGACCTTTTAGGCTTCATGTGGCCCATCTACTTGGTATCGAGAAATTCTTTAAAAATTCTTCGTTTGCTTTAGCCTTGGTGTTCTCACTTAATGGCACATAAGCATCGCATAGCACCTCATGTTTCACGCTTTAAATTCAGATTTTCTTTGCTACCAGAGAAGACCACCTCCAGCAAAACTGGCGTGTTGGGAAATCACAGAGGAAGGGAAGACATGGAATAAAAAAAAAATTAGTAAAATGATATATCCCATTTCCTTTTGCAGCCTATGGCCCGCCCCCTGTCCCTCCCCATCTAGCTACCTTCTCAAGAATACTTGCCCCCAAGTTTATTTAGAATTTAATTTTCCTTAGTGCCTAAAGTATACCTTGCCAAAACTTTATCAGTTTTTAAAAAGTTCCTGTATTAAAAATACTGCTTAGATAATAGCATTTCATCAATATTAACAGCTGATTACTTTGCAGCTAGGGTGAGGAGGAGAATCAAGAGGTACACAGTTGATTTAGCAGGTGCAAATAAGCACAGACTTAGACAAGTAGAAAGATTACAGTGCCCACAAAAACACTGTTCACACCTGAAAAATCCATATCAGAAAGCTCAAATATTAACCTGTGTAGTTCAACAGCAATTTTATTGGTTGGAAAGACCTAATCTTGACTTACTCTGGACAGGGATCAAGATATTTTCTGGTGAGGACATCACAGTGAAAAACGTTATCAGTGAGAAGGCCTTACTTATCAAAAAGGACACTCCCTCCTGGGATGCCCGAGTGATTCGGCAGCGTTAGCGTGTCTAAGACGCAGATGTAGTATTTGTTAGCAGTGGAGATTCCGCAGGCCCACGCTGAGCTGCTGATTCAGCTGGCCTGGGGCCGGGCTGCAGGAGGCGTGGATTGTTGCGCTTCACGACCGCCCCAGGTGATTCTGATGCAGGTGCCTCATACTTGAGAAAACCACCGAGAATGAAAACGCCAGTATTAACAAGGCACAGGTGCTCCAGAGCCCACCCCGTTGGCCAGTCTGAAAATTCCGCTTACTCAGAGTGACTGGCTGATGGAAATTTTCAGTCTGTCTTAGCAAACTAGCTGCAGTTTCCTTTATTGCCCACTGTCATCAGAGCTGGCAGAATTACTCACCACAAGTAACGAGAAGCAGTGGTGAGCTTGGGAGCTTTCCTGAGAGTGCTCTCTGTGTGTATGTGGGGACGTTTCTCTGAGGCTTCTTAGGGAATCAGGATAAGGGGCCTCACGCAGTATCCCTTTCCAGAAATTTGTATTAAACGTTTTACATTTTAACTGGCAAGTCAGTGAAACTGAGGGATTGACACACCTTCCAAAGCACTAATGCCACTGCCCTCAGAATGCTCCTGGACTTACTGTGACTGACACAGTCCAGGCTGCCTAACCAGCATCTCCATTCTCTAGCTCATTCCTCACTTAGGGACACGACTCACAGGCTTCCACCCAGCCCTTGGGTAGAGAATACACAGGCAAGAAATGGTGATCGTCTGTTTCATGGCAGCCAGTTAGAGCATTTATATGTCTGTCCCAAAGCCTTAAATCCTAGGACCTTCCTGTGACACAGCTGGGATGCCCTTCCTAAAAGTTTATGCCTGGTGACTCTCCAGGTGGACATCCTTGTGATGAGCCAGATTAGAATGGCCTACGAAGCCTCAGACCCTTAGTGATGGAAAGCAGGGTGCCTTGGGGATGGAATAAAATTCCAGGCTGACCGCCCCGTCGGTTTGTCCCTAGAGGTGAGAGGGGCTGTAAAGATGCTTCCAATGTGTGTAACAGAATAAGTTCGACTTTCAGCTTTTAACAGTCTTTGCCACAATATTAGGGAAAGCCCTGTCTCAGCAGTACATACTGAGGAGGGGGAAGGGTGAGAGGTCACAGAGCAGCACATTCATAGAGTTGCAGGGTTGCAGCATCCTCATCCATTAGCCTGGATTTCCTCCCATGACCAAAGCCAATAAGGCTCTCACCTCAGGCACAGAATTGCAGGGCATGCCTCTGCTTCTCTGCAAAGCTAGACTTTCCTGGGATGGGCACAGTTCAGTTCATGAGATTGTTCTGATCCAGGTACTTGAAAGTGTCACCTTCTCCTAAAGGCAAATAGGGGCAGGATTTCACCAAGAAATTTCAGACAAATCCAGCCCTACACCCAGAGCTATTGTAGAGAAAGCAGTGCTGGAGAAGAAATGGTGTGCAACTAATAGTCACCTTGAACTTGCAATCAGCTATGCAAAAAAACACAGTTTGGGTCTGGCCTTGTGGCCTAGTGGTTAAGTTTGGTGTGCTCTGCTCCAGCAGCCCAGGTTCAGTTCCCAGGCATGCCCTACACCACTCATTGGCGGCCATGCTGTGGCGGCAACCCACATACAAAATAGAGGAAGATTGGCACAGATGTTAGCTCAGAGCAAATCTTCCTCAGCAAAAAAAAAAAAAAAAAGCATAATTTGACCTGGAACTTTTTCCAAAATGCTCACTTCAGTTTATAGGTGTTCATATTAAAATAGCTACATAGAAATTATGTATGTGCCTTGACCTCCTGAGAAAACAGAGGAAGGGTTAATTTGAGCTCAACCTAAGGGAAGCTGAGTTTGTTTCAGTGGAGTCTTAGCTACGTTTGATATATTTACTCTTCCAGGCATGCTAATTGCTTTCTGGTGAAATTAAATATTTAGAGGAAATCTCATTTAAAAAACAACTTGTACATGTATAGATATCACCATTAGAGAAATAAGTATAGCCAATGATACATTTTAAGAATGTGGAAACCTCTTCTGAACTAAAACTTCAGCGGTTTCTCTCTCATTGAGATTTTGTTATTTTATTGAACATAATCTACAGATTGGTAGCTGGTTAAAGAATACCATGCTAATGATATTTGCTGTGCTTCTGGAGAAGGTTAACGTTCTAAAAAGGTGAGCAGGTAACAACATGGGTTTTGAAATGTACGCAATAACTTTACCAGGTATGGTGCCTCACACATCACACAAATCAAATTTACACTTCATTTCAGTAGCAAATGTTCCTTAGAGGGACCACCCTCTCACTTACGTGATTTTTACTTCAGCACATGAGTAGAAAATGTGTATGGAATAAGTTGAGTCTAAAGAATGGCATCATCATGGCATTACATTGGATTTCCCATAAAGCTTTTCTTATAGAGCATCTGTCAAAGTTTGAGCAGACTGTCCTCTCATTTCCGCAAAAATCAGCTGTTTTTCTCTCTCTTTTTTTTATCATTGTGTCTCTTCCCACAGAATTCATTAGGATGCACTGTACCTCCAACCCCGACTGGTGGATGCCCTCGGAGGAACAAATCAACAAAGTCTTCAGCGATGCTGTGGGTCACGCCCGGCAGGGGCGGGCGGTAGGGACTTTCCTGCACAACGGTGGCTCGTTTTATGAAGGGATCGATCACCAGGCTTCCCAGGACGAAGTCTTCAATAAAAATTCCCAGGATGGGTCTGGGGATTAGTGGACACTCTTTCCACTGTAGCAGCTGGTCCTCTCAAGAGTTCCAATTGTGAACATCCTGTTACCGTCACCTTGGAGTCCAAAGCATGTCATGCTGTCAGACTTTACACATCCTAAACCTTAACTCTCTTGATCCACTGCCACTGTTCCCAAATAGAAATCCATTTTAGGGTTGTTTGGGAAGTCTGTGAAGCCTACAACAGACTCTCAGAATATTATATTATAAAAAGGAAAAACCACGATTGATTTTAGATGATTACGAGCTAGACCGTGAGGGTGAAAAATAGAGGTGAGCTCCTGGTCACCTGTCTGAAATCTTCAAATAAGCTCTTCTCCCTGAGCAGAGCTGGTCCCCAGGAAGATTGGGTTAGTGTCCCTGTCCGTGGGAGAAAGTAGAGACATGGAGTTGTTTTAAGGAACAAGGAACGAGCATTCTCTGAATTCTAATAAGTTGTCTTTATGTTTTCCAAAGACTTGAATTCATACTTCTCAGCAAAGACATAGGAGAGGTGACGTCTGTCTCTATTGTCAAAGCCTGTTGTTAAAGAGAGGCCAGCGAACAGAGGCCACCTCCAGACAGTGATTAATTGGAAGTCAGCTGTTTTTCTCCGTTATTTTTACCAAAAAAAAATTCTGCCATGTTGATCCGGAAGACACTATGTGATCTCTGGAGTTTACAAACAGTAAGTTTTCATTATTTCAGTCAAGAAACGTCCAAAGATCCAAAACCATTTTCAAATGCTTGATTTTGTAGGTTCATAGATCCACAGTTTCCATAGCGTTAAATCAGGCTTTGTTGACACAATGCCAAAGTGGTGGGTTGAGCAATGAGAATTTCAGTCAGTTGTTTGGTGCACTGAAGACCCAACAAGTGGTGTGACTCATGGTATTCCCTGAATTGACCAGATGTTCTGGAATCGTGTACACACAGCTTCAGGGCCATTCTGACAACTATGCAATGGGCTTGTCTATAATTTCTCTGAAATTTGAGGTCTTTCTGTGCTGAGCTGATCTTTAGAATTTGCATAAAACTTCTGTTTTTTGTTGTCATTGATGAAAATGTTTCATCCCGCTGTTGTGTGCCTCCTTGCCCCAAGTATTCCCTTGAACTACAAGTTCTGGCTAAGTTAACACTGAATCACTCCCACTCATTTCCCCCTGGTTAATTTGTTGGGCTCCATCTGTGAAATTTGTAGTGACTTTGGTATCGTTTCTCATGAATGAATGCTGTAGAGTTGCTAGGATCTGTTTCTGAAACTTTGGAAGGCAGGAGCAGCTTACTTTGTCACACCGATCCGGATGACTGCGTTCTGTGTAGAGCAAAGGGCTAAATGGGCAGCATTTATTGAAGGCTGTTAACGTCATCTACAAACATGACTAAGGGTTTTCAAAATTGGTTGGAAATTCATTTAAAATTTATGAGCATCCATTTATAAAGAGGATTTTTTTGGTCATTATTTGTCAAAGTAAAATAATAAATTATCCTTTACCTTCAGTAATTAGTTAGCACCAACTGTATGCACAGCCCTAGAAATAGGTCCTTTAGCTTTTGTTATGGTTATTAGTTTCATCCATTGGAAAGTTTAATGTTTATAGAGATGGTCATTTGTCAAATCTGTTCAATGGTGTGGGGATAACTAATACTTCGATCCTATTTTGGGCAAGGTAGCTAAAATTTGGAAGTAAAAGAATTGATAAGGGCAAAGGCGATGTTACTTATGGGAACCATGAGACTAATATCTTTGGCTATCCGAGCAAGAAAGATCTTTCTTCAAGAGTTTTTAGAGGTGTAGGAAGTCAATATCTTCTAAGATTCTTTGGTGACATGCAGTCTTGGCCAGAAGAAAAATACCACCATAACCTCACTGTCTTTGCATCTTACTTTTTCATTTTTTGCACTGGGCTTTGGATATCCTTACTGCAGAGTACAGTGTCCTTTTTTCTATTGCAGCAATATTTGACCACTGCTTTGAAAAAAAACCCTTCCAATCCTTATCATTTTCCTGCAAGCTTGAGAATTCCTCACGTCTTCACATCTGAACATCATCTTAGAACCCTTTGTTGTGGTCTTCACTTAGGATGATGATGAGATCATTTCTGCACTCACTCTCCATAGCCTTATGTGTTGGCATGCTTAAAGAAAAAGATGAAGTGCTTGCACACTGCTCTGAGAGAGGGTGACAGGAACCTTCACTTTGGCTGTAACTGTCACCTCAGAAGGCTGCTAGGGTGGCCTCCCAAGCCTCGTGGTTGCACACACCTTTTGCTCCAAAGGCACATCTGGCCTCTTTCCCCCAGCCCCATCTGGGTGAATTATTTCTCTATCAGCTTTTTTCCAGTCCTTCACAGATTCCAAAATGGTGGGACTCCATGTTGGCCATCTCTTATACACATGAGGAAACCAAACTCAGAAAGGTGAATGGCTTCTTCAACATCCCTCAGCCAGTTCTAATGCCTCTCCGGGGTCTAGGACCTAGGATCCTGCCCCCTGTCAGAGGTTCCATTACACTCTCATTGTTTGGATGGTCACTGTATTCCCTTAGCCTCGCCCACTGCCTGACCCAGGCACTAACAGCCACTTGGGCTCTGACACAGCATCTGCTTAGATGTTCTGCTGTCTCCCCATGCCACCATTTGAGTTTCACCTTTAAGGCTGATCTGTTACCTGATTCATGGTGGTTGCCTGTATTGTCACCTGATTTTTAAATCAGGGCGTGCAAAGAGTGTTCACCTATTTTGTGGTAAGACCAGCGTGGTCTCTATGTAGCAAGGTTAAAAGTTCACCACTAGGAAGATTGGATGCTATCATTGCTCTGTCAGCCTTTCAGTTCATGTCTTTGGAGACCAGAAGATGTTGCTTATTTTCTGGATTTGATTTTCTTACCGTCTTTGTCTCACGACAAGAAGCTTAGACTCACATCAGCTCTTAGAATCCGTCTTGAGTCCTTTCAGCATTGGTATAAAATGGATTGAATTAAACCAGCTCAGGATGTAGCTGTGCTCCACTTCATTGGTGAGAGAAGGAGATCGCAGGGCTGGCCTGTCACCAAAGACTAAATTTGGCATTCTTGTCAGTGCCCAGGTGTGGTCTCTAACCCAGCTGTCAGAAGAGTCCATACCTACCAACAGTGATGATGTCTTGAGGTGTCCTGTGTTTCCCCACATTACAATCATATCACAAAGAGCGTGCCTGCTTTGCACAGTGAACCGAAGCCCCCAGTGCAGTTTCCCTGGGCTCCGGATAACCCTCCAGTCATCTGCATGGGAGAATGTAGGCCAGGAACCTGTGGAGGGAAGCAGTATTCTGCCAGCAGTTACTAAAGTCACATTTCTCACTGTCTCCTTGGAAGGTACATGGTGCAGAATCTCGTGCTGTAACTGCCATGTTAAATGCTTATGGAGAAAAACTATAAATATGAGTTTGTACCTTCCGTTTTTCACTTGAAAATGTTTCATCTAGCTCTTGGATCCAGACATCACTCTCAGTTTTCCTCATTTCCACCACAGTATTTAGGTTACTGTCCCCGTTTGTGTTTCATACGGCGTCATTAGGAATGTAGAGCATAATATTCGAGTGTCTGCAGAAAATTGCTATCATCTCCTTTGGTAGGGGAATTGAGAGATACGTGTAGCTACTTCACAGCTGCAGAGCAAGTGGGTGATTTTACATTCTGGATTTTTCTTAGCCCTTCATCAGTCATAAACACATTGACCGAAGAGATTTCTTCATCAGAATTATAAGGATATATTACAATATATGATTGGATCCAACTACTTCATATATCAGATGTCGATGGAATGTTTTTTTTAAGTCCAGTAACTATTCTTGTAATATCAAATGTTTTCCTAAAACCTAGACAAAAATACAAACTTGGGGATCTACGTTTTCCTGCCACTTTAATGGCTTGTCCTCCATCTGTTACTATCAGAAAGTGGATAGAGCATGATGTAAGGTGAAACATGCACTATTTTCAGAAAAACAACCATACATTGCCCTCATCTGGATTCTGTCATTCAGCATATGCTCTGGAATCTACACTTAATACCCACGGACTACCTCCTTAGTTTTTTCTTAGATTTCAGTCATTTTTTAAAATCTCATTCTTGGATAACTTCATTTTTACAAAAGATTTAAAGTGTATAACTTTTCTCATTCAGTGCTATGTCATTTTACAGTACAGATCTGTGTAATTTTTGACAGCTCTTATATACAAATTTTAGAAATGTAATAGAAAATGATTTTGCACATATGGTGCCAGTCTCGCTGGTGTATGTTTAATGTGACGACAGTTGCCAGAACTGCTTGGCAAAACATGTCAAATAGAGTGCTTGAGTCAGAACTCTAATGTAAATGTGTCTAAACAGCAGTCTGTATCATTATGAATATTTTTCTAAACATAATGATGGCTTCTTTCAGTGGTATAAGTACTGAATAAAAATAACCACTTCGCTTGGAATAATTCAAGAAAATGTCACCCAGCTGATGGCCCTCTGCAGAGTTCCTTGCATTGTCAGCCAGTGGTGTTGGTTCTTCTATTTGTGTTGTTTTTTTAGAGGAGAGTGAAGAATTGATACGAGACACCATGGAGTGCAAAAATAATAACCCATAGATACTTCCCTTCTAACTTCTAAAATTCAAAACTATAACTGATAGATTTACACATTAGAGACCACCTTTTCCCTCCATAGTATTCAATTGCAAGAAGCATTGAGAGGACTGGACTTTGCTCTTCTAATGACCAAGCGTGGTCAGTTTGGCTATTGAAAGCACTAAATGACCAAATTTTTGCAGTAAAAGTGACCAGATTAATTTTCCTCGTGACCACCCATAGCTGGCTAATATAAGGGCTAGGTTTTCATTGAATCACGAGTCCCCAAATTGCAGTGAAAATACATCTGCTAAAAAGACTTGTTCAGAAGCTTGTTCATTCTCAGAATAACTGCACCAACACGAGTGGCCAGATGGGTCTTGGCCATGTTAGAAAACTGTTTCGGCCCATCCAGAACCACTAACAGCAACAACAATAGTAACGATAGCGAATATCCGTTGAGTTCTTGTGTGCCAGGTACTTTGCTAAGCACTTTAATGCATCCTCTCATTTTAATCCTCACAACCACCCTCTGAGGGTCTTACTGTTGTTATCCCCATTGTATTGATAAGAACATGCCCAGGGTAGTCAGCTAATGAGAGGATCTCTTTGGGCTTAGTAAGTAGAGTGGCTAGTTCAGTTTTCCCCAGTAGTCAAAGTTCCCAAAGCCCATCAAGACTTTGGAATGGATTTGTTTAATTTATGCCACTGAGGAAAAGTTGATACTTGTGTTGTTAAAAGCCACCTTTAAAGTATGTTGATGCTTAAGTAGGAGCATATGAACCACATATCTTCTGGGAACTGCCAAGGTTTCTGCATAAGGCTTGACTTACGTAAGAGCCTATGACGAAGACTAGGAAAAATTTTAAAGTAGTGAATAAATTAAAATCCCTTACTTGTTCACATTTATTTCAGAGGTTTCCAGTACAAAAACGCAGGGATGGAAAAGCAAAAATCTGAACTCAGAGAAGTGATGTTCCTTGGGAACTCCTAGATGTTAGAAATGGCACTGGGCATCAGTCAGCCAAATGCTCCGTTCACTTTTCCCATCTGTTGTATTCGTAGCCTTTGAATTGATGAGTCTGCTTTGGAGAGGGTTTTAATTTATGATGTCTCTGTGAGAACTGTTGTGAAGGTTTTGTAGGAAAATACAGTGATCTGTTGATTCTTTTCTGTAATTTTGGCTTTAACATCTCTTTGGCTGTGTTTAAGATCAAGAGCATGCCAAGGCCGTGAGGGCCTGGCTTGTGTTTCTTGGGAACAGGACATGCCAGACCATGAGGTGGGTCCTGAAGCTTTCAAGGTCACTGGTCCAGCAGGCCCCTGCCCAGTGTGAGCTTTGCCTTTACGTCTCTCCTCTCTGAAACTTCATGTAGCAGCCTAACCCGGGGGCCACTTGCCTTTACTCTGTTTTCTATGATGAACACTTGTGGAGAAACTGTGACAAATCCATCGATCCTAATATTTTTATTGTTGGAGTCTTGTTGATTCTCTATGAATAATTTCTATTTGATTGTACTGTGTAGAGTTAATACCCACTAGGGATATGTTAATAAAACTATAAATGCATAGTGTAATATAGAATAGCAAGATTTTTTTGTGAACAATTTATATAGAAGAGTAAGTTGTTTTTTAAGTGTTAGGCACATTTCTTTTAGGAACTTAAAATGTTATAAGAGTTTTTTAAACATTCAATATTTTTAATTATGAGGAACATTTGTTACCGAAGCCAGTTATTTCAGGTGTTCTAATTGGAGTATTGATTTTATTACCTCATATACCTCTAGAATGCCACATGTTCTGTTGGAGATAAAGTTGCACAATAAATGTCAAGTCTCTGTTAAGTGTTTGAACTTGCTTTTTGCATCTTTCTCCAATTCATTGAAGAAGCTTTTCTGGTTTTTTTGAAAAGAGAACTTTTTTCTCCCTGACACTAAGGCTTTTCTGCTTATCTCTGAATGCCAAGAAAATGTTATATGCTTAATACCCAAATAAACGGTACTCCTTTGTGCCAGGGAACTGACCAAAAATCACCCAAAAAATTTGTTTCCAAATGAATGAAAGGGACATCCAATAATGATCTAGGAGTGACAGGGAATCCAGGAGGATTTTCATTCAGTATTTTATACATTCACACATTAAACATACATGCTTCCTTCTCACAGCACTGTTCCATCAAGGAGGAAAAAAAACCCCACAGCTGCTACTCATGACCTTTAAAAATGAACAAATGTTGCTCATCTATGGTTTTCAAACATGATCTGAGTACAAAAGCAAAGTAGCTATGGCTAAATAAGGTTGCATGGCTGTGGCTTCCCACTTCCAGTTATTGCATAAAATAGAAATCTGACATACCCATTATAGAATAGCAAAATTGAATACATGTCATTTTGTAAATCAGACTCAGTAAAAACTAAGACAAAACGTATCATTTCATTTTTAGGGAAAATAAAAATGTTTTATTTTTGTACTAGAAGATACAGTGTTTTAACCAGCAGTTTGGGATGAGAAAGTCATAATTTAGTCCAAATAATTTGGGTTTGAATGAGGATATCAGTTAAAATGAAATTTAAATTATTTTGTTATTCTAAAGCATTAAATGAGGAATATTAAGTAACTTGGGTTTTTAAATATTTTGTAGCAGGATGCACAGGGTAAAGCTACAGATCAAAAAAGTAGTAGGAACAAATTCAGCATGTCGCAGGATACAAGATCAATTTAATCAACTGTATTTCTACACACTAGCAATGAACAACCTGAAAATGAAATTAAGAAAGCAATTCCATTTATAATAATTAGAAATAATAATGTATTTAAGAATAAATTTAGCAAAATAAGTGCCAGACTTGTACACTGAAAACTACAAAACCTTGAAAGAAATATTAAAAGGTCTAAATAATGTAAAGATAGCCCATAATTATGGGGTGGAAAACTTAATATTGTTAAGATGGCAATACTCCTGAAACTTATCTACAGATTATTGCAATTCCTTTCTAAATCTCAGTGACTTCTTTGCAGAAATTGACATGCTGATCCTAAAATACATATGGACATGCAGGATCCCAGATAGCCAACAGAAATAAATCTTTACGTTTGTGGTCAGTTCATTTTTAGCAAGGGTGCGAAGACAATTGAATGGAGAAAGAATAGTCTTCTCAGCAAATGGTGCTGGGACAATAGGATATCCACATCCTATCCTAAGAATGAAGTTGGACCCCTACCTCAACACCATATGCAAAAAATTACTCAGATTGGAGCCCTCAATGTAAGAGCTAAAATTATAAAAGTCTCAGAAGAAAACATATGATTAAATCTTTATGATATTGGATTACGCAGTGGCTTCAATATGACACCCCAAAACATCAGCAACAAAAGAAAACAATGAATTAATTAGTCTTCATTACCTTTGTGCTTCAAAGAACACCAGGAAGAACAAAGAGACAACCCACAGAATGGGAGAAAATATTCGCAAGTCATATTTCTGGTAAGAGAATTGTAGCCAGAATATTTAGAACTCGACAATAAAGACAAATAGCCCAACTAAAAGTGATCAAAGGATCTGAATATGATTTCCCCAAGGAAGATATTCAAATAGCAATAAGCACATGAAAAGACGTTCAACATCGTTAGTCGTTAGGGAAATGCAAATCAAACTACAATGAAAATACCACTAGGATGGCTAAAATGAAAAAGACACAATAACAAATGTTGGCAAGAATCTGGAGACATTGAAACCATCGTTGCTGGTAAGAATATAAAATGGTGCGGTCATTTTGAAAAACATTTTGGCATTTCCTTAAAAAGCTAAATATAGAGTTATCATATGACCCAGAAATTCAACTCAGGTATATACCCAAGAGAACTGAAAACACATATGTACACAAAAACGTGTACACAAGTGTTCATAGGAGCATTATTTGTAATGGCCAAAAAGTGGAAACAACCCAAATTTCCATCAATTGATGACTGGATAAACAAAATGTGGTATAGCCACACAATGGAATATTCTTTTGCCATAAAAAAAGGAAGGAAACACTGATGTATACCATGACATGAATGAACTTTGAAAACATTATGCTAAATGAAAGCATCCAGACAAAAAGGGCCACGTATTGTATGGTCTCATTTATATAAAACATCCTGAATAGTCAATACTAGGTAGGCAAATTTTGGAGAATGTTGCTCAGTTCACACAGTTAAGGGACCAAATGTATTATGATACAATCCCTTTAAATTTGATCACATTCAGGCAACATATTGACAGCTTGATGTGCCTGGCACTACATCATGCAGCATGATGGTTACCAAGAACCAAAGCAGTAGCCAATGGCTGGGTAACCATTTGGAGAAAAATGACAAAGACCTATTATAAATTATGAGAAAATCCCAAGTTCCACTGAGCAACCTGTTCCCCCAAATAAAGCTATCTTCAAAAGCTGAATCAGGTATAGAGAAAATTCAGTGCCACTGAGTCTGTGTCTCTGTCACACCCAGACAGTTAAGTTTGACCACCTCAGCCACAGTACATGTCAGTTCGGGGAAAGAATTACTCATATATGATTTGGTGTACTCCCAAATCCTAGTTGAATCATTCTTTTTTCTCCTCCTCTTAAAGTTGACATTCAGACCTCACTTAGACACAGTGATACACACGCGGTGTTTCAGCCACTCTGTCAGGAAACAGGTGGCACAGTCAACTTGAAAAGAGTTTAATAGAGACACTTGGTACAAAGGTGTGGGCTGGGGCTGGCCCCGTGGCCGAGTGGTTAAGTTCGCGTGCTCCACTTCAGTGGCCCAGGGTTTCGCCAGTTCCGATCCTGGGCACGGACATGGCACCGCTCATCAGGCCATGCTGGGGTGGCATCCCACACAGCATGACCAGAGGCACTCACAACTATAATACACAACTATGTACTAGGGGACCTTGGGGAGAAGAAGAAGAAGAAAAAAAAGATTGGCAACAGATGTTAGCTCAGGTGCCAATCATTAAAAAAAGAACACGTGTACTGTCCCAATAAAACTTTAAAAAAAAAAGGTGTGGGCAAAGTGGACTGGAACTACTAGGGAGATTGTAGTATCCAGAACTAGTACTGCCAGGGCGCTGTCGTCAGCCTGAAGGCATGAGGCGAGTGAGTGGGTGGCGGCACAGGCATCAGCAGGGCTGTGTGGAGAGGGCTACCAGCCAGGCCCCAGGGTCTCCACATGAGGAACACGGTTAGACTTCACACAGCCTGCAGGGAAGGAGCCCCGAAAATCAACACACTGACCTCTCTCCTCCCTCCGTCTCCTTCTGATGCTCCCTTCTAGCTGAAAGCAGCTGAAAACCAGAGGGCAGGAGAAGCCATTGATGTCCATACAGGTCAGCCTCCTGGGGCACAGAGGGAGGTGGAGACGGGATCAAGGGCAGATATTCAGCACAATCAGTAATGGAGATGAGTCCATTCAAAGCTCTCTTTGGTTTCACCTCATTGATCCCCAGAGTTGACTTCTTTACACTAATGACCTCCTAAGGCTTAATAATTTGAAAAGTTAACATTTATTAAATCAGTAGTTTAAGTGCTTTGCTATCATTATTGCATTGAATCTTAACGAGCCTATGAGGTAAACTAATGTTATCCCCACTCTCCAGAGGAGTAAACTGATGCTTGGAGAGATTGCCCAAGGTCGCAGAGCTAGTAGTGGCAAAGTAGTGAAGCCAAGATACTAATCCAGGTGGTCCAACTCCAGGTGAAAACCACTCCAATAAAAGTGATCTTTGAAGGTAGCATCTATAAGACTTTCAAGACTGAGAAAAAAGTGGCACCAATTAGGCTAGTAAAACAGTAACTACCTTTAAAGTCCACCCAGCTCTGGCTGATCAAACTATAATTCATCCCTCAATTTGGCCTGAAAAAAAGCACCGATGAATATTGGTGCACTTCCTGGGTTCCAGGTGAGTCTTGGTTCTGATTCAGTCCTAGGGCTCCATAGACACAGTCTCAACGCTTCGGTAACAGCCCCCTGAAATCCTTGGTCCTGCGATTTAAGAAACATGCTTGCTGCTAAACCTAAATAAAGTGGGGTAAAATACATCTAAAATAGAAACATGCTGGCTGCAATAAAGAAGTAAACCAATACGGTGAGATGAAATACATCTCAAATAGAATATCTTGGTCCTCGTTCTTATCAATCGTGAAATTTTAATAAAATGGGTTAAAACATGGTTTTGAAATATAGCCTTAAGACAAACATTCATTCTTATTTCACACAAATGTTACGGACCAGATTAATCCTGATTTTTTTTTTTTTTTACCTTTTAGTATTAAAATCAAAATTCATGAGGGAACAAGAATGTTTAAGCCTACCACTAATGGAAATGAAATAGAAACAGTAGGCTGCGTGGCTGAATAGAAGTAGAGGGACCAGTAAATGTAACTATAAATATAGACATTTTTTAAAACCCAGGGTCCACCCACCAACAGCAAGTCAGATCACAGACTCACTCTTCACTGTCCACCAGATTCCAGGGAGAAATTCAGGGCCTGTCGAGATACGCGGACCGGGGGATGAAAATGTCTTCTAGTCTTGTCTCTTCTGTTGTACCAGTGGCAATGACTCTTTCTCCTTCCTGGCAACACGCAAGCATTTTCAATTCAATTGAAAACATAATAAATGTGTTTGATTGTGCCTTGTGTTGTGTTTTCCATTAACATTTTGTGCTAAATAGTTACCCTTTCAGTTTCTGGTGTATTTTTGGATAGACTGTTTTTCTGTGACTGTAGAAGAATGTCAAAGCCAAAACCAGGCACGTGATGTGTGAAATACATGACAGCTTTAAAATTGATAAAGATGGGAGAATTCTGTC